GGAGGCACGTGCCGTTCATCTCGCTTTACGAGGGTTTAAGACACATTTACATGGCCCCGTTGATATCCGCGTTGACAATACAACGGTTATGAACATTATGCGAAAAGGAAATACGCATTCACAGGCGTTAGTAAAGGAAGCTAACGCCATAGATAGAGTTCTGCGCCTACACGGCGTTCCAGCAAAGTGGAGTTATGTAGCTTCAGAGAACAACCCAGCGGACGGGATATCCAGAGGCAATACCATCAAAAAATCGGACTTAGCGAAGGGGTGGAACTTGCGAAGGGGAGAGCGGGAAGCGGGATAAAAGGGCTTCTCAGCACTTCCATTTCGTTAGTTTCTGTTATGTATTAGCAATCATCATCGGGAAAAGATTTGATAGAGATATGTAAATAATGCATCAAAACTTGTTTGAACAATCATGGAAACAAAATATTTTTCTCTTGTGTTTTATTTCTTTAAAGAGGGAGTAAGGCTAGGGTATTCTTCAATTTTATACTTTTTGATACAAGATGACCACATAATTCTCTCCTATATTGATGATTATGATTTTTCGTTCCTTTTTCTTGTTCTTGGTGATATTCTCTGTGTGTATGTGTTTGTATTTGTATTTTTGTTCCCAAATATGTAGGTACGGCAAGTTCACAGGATGGAGCGACGTTTAAATCGAACCCTGATGGCACAGGTTATGGACGCAATAAATATTCAGAGGAAGGCCGCTCTACTTTCCTTGCCTTTTGAGTCTTCCTTGGCGTCCTCTTATACTTCTTCTAAAACCAATTCTGCTTCCTCAATGAGATTACTTGACGGTCCCCTAAGTACTGAAAGAGAGGTGATGCCCTTTCTTCGTGACGCGGTACTGGAGGCTATTGAACGCCCTTTAGAATCTCCTGATTGGAATCAAGAAAGGAAAAGTAACGTTGAGGTTGGTACCATCTTAGAGGGCCGTCGTCTTGTAGGTCTTAATCTTGCTTGTGCACGTCTCTGTGGCTCCTTCAACCGTAGCGATCTATCTGGAACTGATTTTACTGACGCCTTTGCGAGTCACTCTACATTTAATTTAGCTCGAATGCCCCGTTGCTGTTTAACAGGGGCGCAGTTTCACTCATGTACTTTTCTCGCCACGGAAGCTTCATACGTAGATGCACGGAGTGGACGCTTTTCCCACTGTGTATTTCGCCGCACTGACATGACGGGATGGGATGTGCGTGGGGCTACCTTTTATAACTGTGATTTCACAATGAGTGAATTGAGTGATTGGGTGTATGATGGACAGACGATTGTAGTCGCGCCTGTTGGATGGAGCCGCTGCCGCCGTCTTGGTTGGGACGCGCGTGGGAATTCTGCAGCGCCGCAGTCGTGTATAATAGGCGGTGCCGTACCTTCACTACCACCACGCAAACAGAAGTGAATTTTATTTTTTTTCTATATACAATACTGTTTGCTGGTAGTCGGAAGAGGAAGAGGAAGAGGAAGAGGTAAGTCAGAGAGGGTGAATGGTGGGCCTTTTCTCCTTATTGTATGTGCTTGACTTAATTTACGCACGATAATAGAGTAAGGAGTACGTTTACTTTTTTTTTTTTCTTTTTGTTGCTGTAATCTTGTTTTGTTTCTCTTCTTCACTCTCTGAATTGTAGTAGTAGTAGTTGACATCGATCCTCAACAAAGGTAAGATATCAAGAAAGATGAGCCTTAATGCTTTTGTCCGTATCCTCTCTTTAATGTACTCCACCCAAGATAATGACGCACGTCGCGCGTTCACGGTTGAGGTTCTCAAGACAGAAGAGAAAATGAGCTCAGACGAACTGTTGCGTGTTGGAGTAGACTTGCTTAGAGCTTCTAATGAGAGTGCTGCAGTTCAGGCTTACGGTGCGGTACTTCTCAGGCGTGCTGTGAAGTCTGGTCGTGTGTCTCCAAATGCAGTACCATACAATGATATCATGGTGTGGTATTTTAATGAACCAACCATGGGAGGTGTATTGCATGGAGGTCTCATAGATCTTATTACTGAATGTATGGTGTTTGAGTGGCCTGAGGGATGTCCAGATCTCATGGAACGTCTCTGTTCACCAAAGGGACAGTTAGCTCACGAACCTCGAAAATTGAATCTTTTATGTTCACTTACTACAAAATTTATGGAGCCACATATTGGTCATGTACCTGTATCTCGAATGAGAATCTTAAAAGAAGCAATGGCATCTTACGCTAAAGGAATCCTTATAGAGGTTATACAAGCTTTGTTTGATATGTACACTGCGGCTGGCGGTGAGAATAGCCAACGTTGTGTAGAAGGTACCGAATCCTTAGTCACAGATTGTTTAACAATCATCGCAAATTTAGCCCCTTCTCTTAGTATACCAGAATGGTGGGAAATAGGATTAGGTAATGCTTTATCAGTTTTGGTACATTGGAGACCTGTAGCCCATGAGGCACTTTCAACAACAACATCTCTTCTTAGAGTTGATAGTCTTTCCGCAAGGGCAAAAGATCCAGAATTATCATCATTTATGACAGCTGTACTTCGTTCGGTGGAGGTGGGAATAGCTGAATGCAACTACTCTATGCTTGAAGAGACGATGGAACTATTACTTGAAATGCCAGATCCAATCCTTTCTGCTGTGGAATCTTCTGTTTGTTTGGCGTGTCATTTTACGTTGGTTGTTCCAAGTATTTATCTCGCTTTTACTTCTTGTATGGTTTTGCGGCGATTAGGTGATGTGGTGTTTAACTACATTAATCCTTTAGAATTTATTATGCGTTTGGCAACATTAGTAGAGAAAAATAAATTTGACCCGGAAACGGGAAGTCATGAAGAAGGAAGAATTTTATCAGAGCAACAATATGGAACTCATGTACTATTTAATGCTGCTTTTGCAGAGTTTCGTGGGATTGTGGGACAATTATTATCTTCGGTAGCACGACTTTATCCTGTAGTGAGTAATCGATTTATTTATAGAATGATTTCAACTCTTTGTGATGGAGCTGGAACTCGAGAAGATCCAAGAACTACTGCAGGATTTGTAACACATCAGAGTCCTACATATTTAGAGTGGGAGGCTGCTCATTTTATGCTTACTCACTTATCTGAATCATTTAAGTACTCTTCAGATTATGTACCAGAGGCAATTGGTGCCTTATTGGCTAAACAGAATGAAGATATGGTTCTTTCTCCTTTATTTCTTAATATGCTATCATCCTTCTGGAACTGCAGAGATGATGCTGCATTTAATGTGTGGGAAGGGACACTTGAAATTATATTTATTTCTATTGAACGTAAAGGCCACAATCTTCACGATCCTGATGTTAGTTCTGCTCGTAAGCGGGCCCTAACACTTCTCATAAATGCTTGTAGTCAACATTCAACACGCTTGGCTCCATTGTGTGATCCTTTTTTAAAACGAATGGAATGTCTGTTAATGTCCGTTTCCACAGCCCAACATGAAAAATCTCTCTTATACGAAGCTATGGCAGCTCTTACCTGTGCTCTTCCCCCAGCAGAGGCACAATATAGACTTCAAACTTTTCTTAATCCTATTGTGGAGATGTTAGTAGAACGTGTTCAGACTATGGATCAGAGAAGGTTTAATGATATTATAACGGCCCGAACCTCTGAGTTTTTAGGTCATCGAGACACAATACGTAACAGTGTGTGTGTCATTGCAGGTGTACTGCGACGTTGCACAATCTCTCCATACTTAGTAGAGTTATCCACAGCTTTGGTACCATTTATTACACAACTTGTAAATCTTATTCATGGAATTCGTGCAGAAGAACTTCCACCGGCATATGTAGGAATTCTTGAAATGGGAGGTGAGGATCGTGAACAATATCTTCCCGGAAAGTCACGAAAGAGCAATATCTCTGGTGGTCCTGTGTATAAGGCTAGAAATGTTCTTATGGATTTACGATTATCACTTTATCAAGTGATTGGAGTACTGAGTTCATTTATTCCTGCTGATAGACTTGGTGGATTAATTCAAACTCTGGGACCCTCTGCAGCATTTCTACCAATACACGCCGTACGGTCATTAATTACGCGTTGTCTCTTTCCCGTTGGTGGTGCCCATCCAATTCTTATTCCGGGAATATTACATACATGTGCAATCTTTTTCGCACGCTACTCCCGACTAGCATCTCCACGTCCAGAGGATGAAATAATTGATTCAAAACAACTCTTTTTCTTTTCCAAAGACATTTTTACATTTATACGGACTCATATTGTGGAGCGGAAACTTCTTATTGATAATATAATAATGTCTCAGGCGGTTTCTGAGGTGGCACTAACCATCTTAGAAAGTGGGACGAATATCAATGATAGTTATCGCCTTATCACCACAGTATGTATTGCCACCAAACACACAGATAAGGAAATACAGACAAAGGTGGATGAATTAGCAGTCTTTGTGTTTGGACGGGTGATGGAGTTTACAGTGCAAGCAGATTCCACAGTATTACCATTTAGGGAACGCGATCGATTGTTGTTTTTACTCGCTGATGCTTACGTTGAAAACTTCCCAAAGTACACAGATGCCCTACGAGTACGGTTTCCACACACACAAGTGGAGGAATTGCATGCCCATTTGACAGTCTCATCCCGAATGGATGTAAAGCGAAGGCGTTTCAAGGAGTTCCTACTTCGTGTTGCGGGAGGAAAAGGACCAGAGTGTGTTTGAGCTCTTAAAAAGAGGGATTGTGAATGTGAAGTACTATATCTGGAGTCAAGAAGGTAGAGTTGTACAGGCGCAACGTTTACTACAGCTTTAAAAGTGGTACCCTCTATATAATATAATAAGTGCCATAAAAAAAATTTTTCTTTTTCTCGATTACTACCACTATTATTATTATTACTACTATTACTATTACTACACTTTACTGGTATTATTTTTCTGCATGTTATAATAGTAGTAATAATAACCATAATCATTTTTTTTTTTCTTTCACTCTTTCCGTTTCTTTTCATTTTTTTTTTTTTGTTTCGTTTTCTCTGTTCTCAAAAGGAACATGTAATTCTATGCAAAAGTAAGAGTATGGCTACGTACAAGAAAACGGTGTTTGATCTGCACCTTTGTTTTCCCCCCGGTGTTCTCCCACTAGCAGTGATGTAACAATCTCTATTATTATTGTTATTTTGGTAGAATTAAACTTGTGATGAATCCTTATCCTTTTTTATTTTGATCGGGAGGCCATCAATACTCTCACTATGAAAGGGAGATGACGAAAGACAGGGAGAGAGAGAGTTTGTGTGTGTGTGTGTGTACTGAAAAGAGACTTCATTACGAGAGCACCATGTCATTACGTACAGAGAACTGTCATATTTAATGAGACTGCTTACATATCTACGGATTAGAGGTGATGATGTATGACTGGGGAAGTGGGGTGGGGATTGGAAGTGAAAAGAATATACATTCTTTTATTTTTTATTTTTTAAACTGTGGCGGCGTTATTTATTCTATCACACTGAGTAAAGAAAAAGTAGTATAAGTTTATGTAACCAATGAGTTTGATCCGATTGATAGGATGAGACCTGACTGCGAAAAAATGTTTCTTTCTTTCCTTATTTCTTCCTTGAAATATATATATATATATATCTTCGCACACATGCAAAGGAAAAAAAAACAAAACAAATCCGACTACATCAAACACTAACACTCCTCCTTCAAAAAGGGCAAACTAAGAAGAAGGAAAACAAGAAGAAAATAAAAAAAAAAAAAAAGAAATCAAACAAACAAAAGAAACAAACAAAACAAAACAAAACAACCTAAAAAACAAAACAAAAAAAAAGAAACACAACCATAATACGTGATGTTCCGTCGACGCGTGGTTCACCAGCTCAGCAGTGCCATGGCATCCCTGCGATTCCTCACCGTCACGCCCATTCCCATGCCCGCGCTCTCTCCCACCATGGAGAAGGGAAAGATCACCGAGTGGGTGAAGAAGGTCGGCGACCCCGTCACCTCCGGCGACACGTGGTGTAAGGTGGAAACAGACAAGGCGGTGGTCTCGTACGACAACGCCACGGAAGAGGGTTTTCTCGCACGTATTCTCGTGCAGGTGGGCGAAGAGGCGGTGGTGGGCGACACCGTCTGTCTGCTGGTCGATGAGGCGGAGGGTGTGAACTCCGATGAGGTGAAGAATTGGGCCGCCGCCGCTGATGCTAATAATACTAATACTACTACTACTACTAATACTACCACACCAGCAGCAACGACAACTGCAGCGTCTAGCAGTGCTGGTGGTCATGTGAAGGCCTCCCCGCTTGCCCGCAAGACAGCAAAAGAATTAAATGTATCCCTCGAGGGCATTAAAGGCACAGGCGGTGGAGTTGGCCGCATTGTGAAAAAGGATGTGGAGGCCGCCGCTGCCGCAGGTACCGCACAGAAGGGATCAACAACAACAACAACAGCAGCAGCAGCAGCCAAACCCGCACCAGCAGCAACAACGGCTGCGGCCGCTGCTAAGCCAAAGCCACAAACACCAGCGGCAGCACCAAAGCCTTCTGCTCCTGTGAATGATAACTACACAGATATTCCCGTCACCAACATGCGTGCAACTATTGCCAAGCGTCTCACACAGTCAAAGAATGTGGAGATCCCACACTACTACCTCTTTGAGGAGTGCTGTGTTGATAATATGATGGCGTTGGTACATCAGTTAAATGCCAAGGGTGATGGTAAATATAAGATTACTCTGAATGATTACATCATTAAGGCTGTGGCCCGCGCCAACATGTTGGTGCCGGATGCAAACTCCTCATGGCAGGGAAGCGTGGTTCGCCGCTACAATACCGTTGACGTCAGTGTGGCTGTTGCAACACCTACAGGCCTCATTACTCCAATCATCAAGAACGCCCAGGCACGTGGATTAGCGGATATTTCCAACGAAATGAAGGCCCTTGCGAAGAAGGCACGTGAGGGTACACTTCAACCAAATGAGTTTATGGGCGGTACGGTGTCTGTGTCAAACCTTGGTGCCAGTGGTATTCCCGGCTTTACGGCGATCATCAACCCACCACAGTCTCTCATCCTTGCGGTTGGATCTGCCAAGCCACGGGCAAAGATCACAATGAATGCGGAGACCGGTAAATATGAGGTGAGTGGAGAAGTGGAGATGGTGATGAAGTTCACCGCCTCCTTCGATCACCGCGTTATTGACGGCGCAGTGGGGGCAGAGTGGTGTAAGCACTTCAAGGATGCCATTGAGAATCCACTCTCACTGATGCTGTAAAAAGGAAAAAAAAAAGTAGAAAAGAGAGGAGAAGAGAGAAGAGATGAAGAGATGAGAGAAGGAAGTTGCTGATGATGCTACTGATGGTGATGCTGATGATGATGATGCTTATATGTTGATGATATTGTGCGTTTCGCTCTCTCAGTCTGCATCTCTGTGTTTGTATGTTTGTATGTGTGGCTGTCTAAGACAGACGTGTCAGTGATTGGGAGGGAGGAACACCATGAATGAATGAATGAATGAATGGATGAATAAACGAACGATCGAACGAACGAATGGGCACGGGAAGAGCCAAAAGAACTAAATAGGGGTATTCCTTTTTCGTTATATGAAGGAATAAGAACAGCTAATAAACGTAGAATGATAAGAGAGAGAAAAATAAGGAGGATAGTGAGAGAGAGAAAGAGTGAATAAGGTAAGACAAAAAAAAAAAAGAAGTGTAGAAGAAAATAGAACATGATAATACACAAGAGTGAATAACTTATGGAAAAGAAGGAAAGTGAGAAGAAGAAGAAAAGAGGTACATGCACATTTTACTGCTTAAGAGAAAAAAAGAAATAGTTTAAAATGATAAATTAATCATGTACAAGGACATGTCCATATCATTGGTGTTCATGTCTTTGTTTTTTTTTTTTTTTTTTTCTTTTTCTTTTTAAGTACACGGACATGCAGACATGCCACTACCCCTCTGTAGTCGTGGATGAATACTGAAGAGGGGACTCAAGAGAAGCCTGACTGAGAGAT